GATCCATGATGTATTCATTAATATTAGGGCTTTCATGAATAAATAGGAGAAGAAACCCAGAGAGAGGAAGTATGGTCAAAATGAAGATATCTACAAAGTTCCCTTCCAGCCCACATAATCTATCTATCAGGAACTGTATCATATTTAATGAGTAAATAGTTCCTAGAATGACTCAAAAAGGAGTACAGCAAAATAAATATGGCCAATGTTATATGACCTTTCAAATATCCCTAACTATGGCACTGGTGGTACAGATAGTTAAGCGCTCACTGCTAACCAAAAGGTTGATGGTTCAAACCCACCAAGCAGCTCCATGGGAGAAAGACCTACTTCCATAAAGATTACAGACAAGAAAACCCTATGCAGCAGTTCTGCTGTGTCACACTGGGTCACTGTGAGTCAAAGTCAACTCAGAGGCACCCAACAACAACAACAACACGGTGACCTGAGAATCTGAAACTCAGAGCAGTGTCAAAGCATTGGGTTGGAGTAGTGTGTTTTTTCCCTTGTCCTTTTATAGAAATGCCACAGTAGATAATTCGGAAAATCAATGATCCTTCTCAGGAAAAATAATTAGCTTTGTATCTCTTTTAAGAGCAACTGTCATTTGTCAAGAATGACAGAAATCAAAATGGTACTATATGTGCCCCATGACACATGCACATTTTTCCAAGCTGTCCCTAAATGGAGAAGTGAGCAATGCGAATATGGCACCATTTGCTCTCTACTTGCTTACAGCATAGTGGAAAGCAAGGCTCTAGTGTGAGAAGAAGGTGATTGAGTTAATGTACTCTCTTGTCAATATCTTTCCTAGGCTTGAGGATCTCAGGTAACTACTGGATCATTGAAGTTCCCTCATTCACACAACCTTAAAGCATTGTATTGAAACCATAAATAGGCAACGTTACAAAGCTACCAATTTCTGAATTCAAAGATGTTGATCTTAATAATGCAGAACACTGAGATTTTTAGAATTTTTTTGAATTCTATTTTAGTTGCAGGTGGGCCAGTCCAATTATAGTTGGTTTTAATTAGCATATCCTAGAAGCAAGGACAATCTCTCAAAAGATACAATAGTATTAAAAAAAAGTTAGGCAATTAGTCACTTCGTTTGAAAATATCAAATGAATGGCTTCCAATGTCATATCAGGGCTTATAGTGACATCTCCGTCTCAATCTTTAGGCTAGAATAGAAAATTAGATTAAGATACGAGTTTCTGAAAACACTGCTTCAACTGTTGTTGTTAGGTGTTGTCGAGTCAGTTCTGATAAAAAAGCAACAAGAACCAATAAATGCACATAACAACCAAAACCAGTTGTTTTGGAGTCACAACGTACAGGCAAATTTGATTATAGTTCTCATGACTTGGAGCCCTGGTGGCGCAGTGGTTAAGCGGTTAAGAACTATGGCTGCTAACCAAAAGGTTCAAATCCACCAGCTGCTCTTTCGAAAGTCTAATACGGCTGTTCTACTCTGTGCTAGAGGGTGACTATGACTTAGTAAATACACTGGTTTTTGGTCTCATGACTCAGTAAATGCACCACAATAAGGACATTTTACTACTGTACCTTCCAAAGTACCCAAATCTTGTCTTATGTCTTTTTTTAATTCCTCATCAAATTTAACTTTCAAAGATTAAATATCTTCAGTTAGCATTTGAAACACTTATTAAACTCTATTTAGCTTCCAAAGTAATGCAGAAGTGAGCAAATTCAAGAACGGATGATGATCGATATCGCATATTTAATTCTATTATGTTGAGCTCGGATCTCAGAAGCACGAAGTTATATCTCTTAAGAGTTTTATAACGGAGCATAATTAGTTTGCCTCTCATGCTCCCTCGAGATAAAAGTGAGTGAAAAACTCCTAAGTTCTTGCTATTCACAATGTTTCCATTGGGTGTAGCTATGATATTGGATAGGTTAGTACTGCAGCCAGAGAATTCAGGAAGGATACCCAGACATTTGGGGATTTGTAGTGACTTTCTTTGTCTTTAGCTTTAAATGCTATTAGTCAGTTGTCTATTCTATGGAAAGCACCAAATAAAATACTTCCAAATTAATCAGGCCAAGAAAGATTTCAATGTCTTTTTCCAAAAAGGAAAAAAACTAAAAAAAACCTGAGACCTGTATTGAAACGTGAATCAACACTAATTTCTACACAGTTTGCTTATTCTTCAATTTTTTATATAACTATCCAATCCACTTCCTTTGAATGCCTTCTCTATAAATGGGCATCTGTTAGCTAAAAAAAGGATAAGTAAGGGGGAAATCCACTAACAATGCAACTCTTATTCAACGATAGGTCTGAACAGAGTATCTTGAAATTGCCTGTTTATGCTAAAACCAACCCCTTGACATTGAGTCGATTCTGACTCCTAGCGCCCCTATGGGGCAGAACAGAATTGCCCCCTAGGGTTTCCAAGGCAGAAATCTTTGTAGAAGCAGACTCCCACATCTTTCTCCAGTGGAGCGGCTGTTGGGTTAGAACTCCTGACCTTTGATTAGCAGGTGAGTGCTTAACCACTGTGCCACAGGGCTTCACTGTTTTTGCTAAAAGGGAGGGGGAAAAAAGTGTTTCTCCCAAAATACAAGGGCAGCTTACATGCTGTGATGAAAACTGCTAACTCTTTTCTCAACAACACCATATGTCTCCAATTGGATCATAATGCAGTCAGTTCTCAAGGGAACCTGGCGCATGGCAGCGAATCAAATCAAGGAGCAGTCTTCACTGTATATTGACTCACTCATTAACCAGTGATCAGCACTTTCAAACTTTCCAGATCCTCCTCCAAAATGTTGATGTGAAGGGACTTTCTGCTTTCCCAAGATCTTCCAAAAACCAACCAAGTCTTAAAAGGACCCCTGACCCTTCCATAAAACTATTCCTCTTTTTGTTCATATTTCCTCTTCTGCATAACCTCAATGTATTTTAAGGTGGCACAGTGGTTAAGAGCTGGGCTGCTAACCAAAATGCTGTGAGTTCAAATCCATCAGTCACTCCTTGGAAACCCTACAGGGCAGTTCTACTCTGACCTATAGGGTCACTATGTTGGAATCGACTCGACGGCAGTGGGTTAAAATGCCTTACCCTTGAACTCTTCAATCTTGGGGTTTAAACAGATGTATTTAAGCGGATGTACTTCAAACGCTATTGAAATCTAGCTTATAGAGATCAAAAGGCAAAATGTTGTAGGACTGAAGAAGTCACGATTTCTTTTTTCCCTTGAGAAGCACCAAAAACAGAACAACAAATGAACCAGCATGCAGTAGTCAGGTATTCTTTTCTTACCTGCCGGTTGTAATTCTGCTTACTTTAGCCTCCCATTCAGTCTGTATTTATTTATTTTTTATGCCATGAGTAAGATCTGTTTCAAGACTTTCCCACCTAATACTATATACGTCCCCTATATACTAGGAGCGCTAGGTGGTGCAATGGTTAAGGGGTCTGTTGCTAACCAAAAGGTTGGCGATTCAAATCCACCCAGCAGCTCTGAGGGACAAAAACATGGCACTCTGCTCCTGTAATGACTACAGCCTAGAAAACCCTATGGGGCAGTTCTACTCTGTCCCATGGGGTCCCAGTGAGTTGGAATCGACTTGACAGCACCTAACAACAATGACAACAAACATATACGACTATAAACTTGCTAATATAAATTAATAGCAAGTTGAGATATTTCCAGCTTGAAAACAAACGAAACAAAACAAAACTCATTACCATCTAGTTGATTCCAACTCGTAGCCACCCTATAGCACAGAGTAGAACTGCCCTGGAGGATTTCCAAGGAACAGCTGGTGGATTCTAACTGCTGACCTTTTGGTTAAGCAGCCAAGCTCTTAACCACTGTGCCACCAGGGCCCTGACAAACATGGTATCTTCAATCCGATTATGTTGAGCAGAATTCTTAAGAGCATAAATTTATGTCATTTTGTGATGTGTGTAAAACATTAAGAATCCAAGTGAAATGCCCTGGGATGGACTAGATTAGGACTCTGCAAACTGTCTGTGATGAATGTTCAGTTGTTTTGTTTTTTGTTTACTTTCCAATCTGTCAGTGACTGAAACTTTTGTGAAATGTAATATTATGCATTCAGATGTTATGACAATGTCAAATTGCTATTCAAAGTTTCTAAATGCTTACTCTCACTTTTCTGTACTCTTCCTGTGGTGGGTTGGTAAGAAATAGTTTGGGGACTGGCATCAAACTGTGAATATCACTGTTTACGTATTTTATAAACCAGAGATCAGGATACCAATATTAATGATAAGAGTCAAAAACTCCTTTTACCTCAAGGGCATCCTTGAACTGTTCTTTGCTCTGTTTTCCTTCCAGCTCACTTTAGGGAATCAGCAACAGAGATTCAAAAGAAACATCAAAGAAGATGTCTTAGTTATCTAGTGCTGCTATAACAGAAACACCACAAGTGGGTGGTTTTAACACAGAGAAATTTATTTTCTCACAGTTTAGGAGGCCAGAAGTCCAAATTCAGAGCACCAGCTCTAGCGGGAGGCTTTCTCTCTCTGTCAGCTCTGAAGCAAGGTCCTTGTCTCTTCAGCTTCTGCTTCCTGGTTCTTTGGGTATCTCTATGTATCTTGGCAGCTGTCTTACCCCATCTCTGCTTCTCTTGTTTGCTTGTGCTAAGCTCTTTTGTATCTCAAAAGAGATTGATTTAAAACATACCCTACACTAATCCTGTCTCATCAACACAATGAAGACAACCCATTCCCAAATGAGATTATAACCACAGGCATAGAGGTTAGGATTTACAATATATATTTTTGGGGACCACAATTCAATCCGTAACAGAAGAATAATCAAAACGTTTTCAGTAGCGTCGAGAAAGATGAGCTGCGACATAGTATTAAAAAAAAATACACACTTATAAAAGCAATCTCTTCCCTTCCAGTGACCAATCAAGGACCTTGTCGTGCACTGATTATAAAAGAAGCAATACGCCCAGGCACAATTTAGTGATTGCTTAATGGCACTTCTTACCTGGGATGCCTGGTGGCGTTTTCAGATACTTCCCATTAAAATGTTGAATTACCACCTCACATTTTTCAGTAGACTCCATTCTGGAAAAAGAAGACAAAATAGAGTGTCACTGACTTTTGTGAAGTTGTGTACACCCAGGGAAAAACAATAAAAAGGAAAAGAAAAAATGGGTATTAAGAAAGCATGGACAAGCTTGTTTTGAGAATTTTGCCAGAAATGTCAACTGTTGCAACGACCACCATAACAGGTGGGAGAATGTCACAAACCCATCATTGCCTGGAATAATGTTCACTCTCTATTGAAAGCTGCCTATGTGAACAGCTCTCGGATGAGTCCTCACCAGAGATAACACTGAGATGCTATCTCATTTAATTCACACGAAGAAGTTTGGCAAATGGAAGTGCTCGATAAGCACCTGTTGAATGACTGAATTATTGTTAGGAGCCGTAGAGTTCAGTTAGACTCAGAGTGACCCCACGTGACACAGTAGAACTGTCCCATGCCATTTTCTAGACTGTAATCTTTTCAGAAGCAGATACCCGTGTCTTTCTCCCATGAAGCTGCTGGGGCGGGGCGGGGGGGGGGTGTTGAACCACAAACCTTTCAGTTAGCAGCTGAGTGCTTAACCAATTGCACCACCAAGACTTCTTAGCAAACATTAAAGAGGGACTTACTACTGTCCTTCATACAATAAGGGCACTGAAGCTTAGAGAGATGAACCACTTTGCCAAAAAGTGGTAGTCAGAATTTGAATTCAGGCCTGTCCAACACGAAAGTCTATAATGTAACTACTAAGCATACTGCTGAGGGACTCCACAAATAAAGTTGACAAGATGTGTTTTAAGTGACCAGGTTGCAGCCTAACAGAGTGGGTGATACAGTAATGTTGGCAGTAACATGACACTTTCATTGAAAAACCACCGGGTGAAGGATACCTAAACAGAGTGATTTGGGTTCCCAAATGTGGGACGGAGACAAATATACATAAACCTTTCTTAATTTTGAATTTTACACAACTTTCTCTTTTTTTATATTTGATATTATATTCTTAAACTGAGTTTCTTATGCCAATTATGGCATCTCACATACAAGCTAATGATTGGGCTTTCAATCCGTACCATCATAATGCCATTTTTAGCAGTACTGTCATCTCTTAAGTGCGGCAGTATTTGCAATATTTTCCAAATAATAAATTGTATCTGCCTTTTATCATTTTATAATACTAGGTGGTGGTGGTTGTTATTAGGTGCCATTGAGTCGATTCCAACTCACAGCAACCCCATGTACAATAGAACGAAACACTGCCAGGTTCTGCGCCATCCTCACAATCATTACGCTGTTTGAGCCCATTGTTGCAGCCACTGTGCCAATCCATCTCATTGAATATTTTCCTCTTTTTCACTCTCTACTTTACCAAGCATGATGTCCTTCTCCAGGGACTGGTCACTCCTGATAACATGTACGAAGTCTTGTCATCCTCCATTCTAAGGAACATTCTGGCATTAATTCTTCCAAGACAGATCTGTTCGTTCTTCAGGCAGTCCATGGTATATTCAATATTCTTTACCAATACCAAAATTCAAATCCATCCATTCTTCTCTGGTCTTCCTTATTCACTGTCCAGCTTTCCAATACATATGAGGTGATTGGAAATATCATGGCTTACGTCAGATACAACTTAGTCCTCAAGGTGACATCTTTGCTTTTTAACACTTTAGAGAGGTCTTTTGCAGCAGATTTGTCCAATGTAATATGTTGTTTGGTTTCCTGGCTGCTGCTTCCATAGGCGCTGATTGTGCATCCAAGTAAAACAAAATCCTTGACAACTTCAATATATTCTCCGCTTATCATGATGTTGTTTATTGGTCCAGTTGTGAGGATTTTTTGTTTATCTTGAGGTGTAATCCATACTGAAGGCTGTGGTCTTGGATCTTCATCAGTAAGCGCTTTAAGTTTCCTTCACTTTTGACAAGCAAAGTTGTGTCATTTGCATATCACAGATTGTTAATGAGTTTTCCTCCAATCCTGATGTCGTATTCTTCATTTAGTCCAGCTTCTTGGATTACTTGCTCAGCATACAGACTGAATAAGTATGGTGAAAGGATACAACCCTGACACACATCTTTCCTGATTTTAAACCAAGCACTATCCTCTAGTTCTGTTCTAAAGATTATCTCTTGGTCTATGTACAGGTTCCGCATGAGCACAATTAAGTGTTCCGGAATTCCCATCTTCACAATGTTATCCATAATATCTTATGATGTAGATATTCAAATGTCTTCAAATAGTCACTAAAACACAGGTAAACATCTTTCTGGTACTCTCTGCTTTGAGCCAAGATCCATCTGACACCAGCGATGATATCCCTCATTCCACATCTTCTGAATCCAACTTGAACTTCTGGCAGTGCCCTGTTGATGTACTGCTGCAACCATTTTTAAATTACTTTCAGCAAAATTTTACTTGCTATGATATTAATGACATTGATCAATTACTTCCACATTTGGTAGGATCACCTTTCTTAGGAATGGTCTCAAACATGGATCTCTTCCAGGTGGTTGGCCAGGTAGCTGTCTTCCAAATTTCTTGGCATAGACAAGTGAGTGCTTCCAGTGATGCATTCATTTGTTGGAAGATCTCAACAGGTATTGTGTCAATTCCTGGAGCTTTGTTTTTTTGCCAATGCCTTCAGTGTAGCTTGGACTTCTTTCTTCCATACCATCAGTTCTTGATCATATGCTACCTACTGAAATGACTGACCATCGACCAATTCTTTACGGTATATTGATTCTGTGTATTCCTTTCATCTTTTTTTGATGTTTCCTGCGGCATTCAATATTTTGCCCATAGAATTCTTTGATATTGCAATGTGAGGTTTGAATTTTTTTCTTCAGTTCTTTCAGGTTGAGAAATGCTGAGCATGTTCTTCCCTTTTGGTTTTCTAACTCTATGTCCTTTGCACATTTTATTAGATACTTTATTCTGTCTTCTCAAGCTGCCCTTGGAAATCTTCTGTTCAGCTCTTTTTCTTCATCATTTCTTCTGTTCACTTTAGCTACTCTACATTAACAAGCAAGTTTAAAAGTCTCTTCTGACATGCATTTTGGTCTTTTCTTTCTGCCCTGTCTTTTAATGACCTTTGCTTACTTCATGTATGATGTCCTTGATGTCCTCCCACAACTTGTCTCATCTTCGGTCATTAGTGTTCAATGAATCAAATCTATTCTTAAAATAGTCTCTAAATTCAGATGAAATATACTCAAGGCTGTACTTTGGCTTTCATGGACTTATTTTAGTTTTCTTCAGCTTCTACTTGAACTTGCATATGAGCAATTGATGATCTATTCCACAGTCGGCCCCTGGCCTTGTTCTGACTGGTAATATGAAGCTCCTCCATCGACTCTTTCCACAGATATAGTTGATTTAATTCCTGTGTATTCCATCTGGCAAGGTTCATGTGTATAGTCGTCATTTATGTTTTTTTTAAAAAGGCATTTCTAAAGAATATGTGGCCGCTGTTGCAATATTCTATCATATGATCTCCTGTGTTGTTTCTATCACCAAGGCCATATTTTTCAACTGCAGATCCTTCTTCTTTGTTTCCAACTTTCACATTTCAATTATCAGTAATTATCAGTGCGTCTTGAGTGCATGTTTTATCCATTTCAGACTGCAGAAGTTGGTCAAAATCTTCCATTTCTTCTTCTTTGGCCATTAGAAGTTGGTGTGTAAGTCGTATTAACTGGTCTTCCTTGTAGGCGTTTGGATATTACCCTATCACTGACAGCGCTGTACTTCAGGATACATCTTCAAATGTTCTTTTTGACAATGAATGTGACGCCATTCCTCTTCAATTTGTCATTCCGGCAGAGTAGACCATATGATTGTCTGATTCAAAACGGCCAAAACCAGTCCATTTCAGCTCACTAATGCCTAGGATATCAAACTTCAAGCATTCCATTTCATTTTTGACAACTTCCCATTTTCCTACATTCATACTTTGTACATTCCACGGTCCAATTACTGATGGATATATGCAGCTGTTTCTTCTCATTTTGAGTCATGCCACATCAGCAAATGAATGTCCCTAAAGCTTGACTCCATCCATGTCATGAAGGTTGACTCTACTCTGAGGAGGCAGCTCTTTCCCAATCATATTTTGAGCACCTTCCAACCTGAGAGGCTCGTTTTCCTGCACTATATTAGACAATGTTCTGCTGCTATTCATAAGCTTTTCCCTGGCCAATTTTTTCAGAAGTAGATCACCAGGTCCTTCTTCCTAGTCTGTCTTAGTCTGGAAGCTCCGCTGAAACCTGTCCACCATAGGTGACCCTTCTGGCATTTGAAATACCGTTGGCATAGCTTCCACTATCAAAGCAACAAGCAAGACACCATAGTATGACACACTGACAGACGAGTGGTGGAAAATTGGGTTGGGAAGATAAAAATTAAAGGGTTGATTTTGATGAAAGGAAATTAAGTCCCATAAACAGTACACTAAAGAAAATATTAAATTTTTAGAAACATTACACATATGCATGAAAGAATGTATATGAAATGTGTGAAATTTGGCTAAAAGGCAAATTATGACTTTGGATTTTTTGCTGTTATTAATATGCACCTTCCTGGAATGGAGCCCTTAGACACAAGTTGTAAAGCTTTCCTACATCCGAATTTTCTGGGTGTTTTCAGCCCATATTACACGCGTGAGGAAACAAGGAAAAAATATGTTAACAATTGCCAAATGAGTGATAATTTATTATAGTTATAAAAACCAAAACCAAACCCATTTCTGTCAAGTTGATTCCGACTCATAGCAACCCTATAGGACAGAGTAGAACTGCCCCATAGGGTTTCCAAGGAGCGGCTGGTGGATTCCAACTGCCAGCCTTTGGTTAGCAGCCGAGCTCTTAATCACTACATCACCAGGGTTTCCATTATAGTTATAGGATATCAAAAGTTGAAGGTAGCCCAGAAGCCAGGGAGACACTAAGTAGGCACAGAAGACAGGAAAACCCTCTTGAGAGAATTAGGGCAGAGGGTAGGCTGGATACACCAGAGGGCCTTTGAGCAGGTGACT